TAAGGATGATATTGTTATGTGTGAATTTGATCCCATCATCATGATGCTAACTGGTTATTTTGCAGACTTGTTAATGGAGTTGCTTCATAGTGTCATTAGTCTGTGTACTTCAGTGTTTTGTAGTGGCTGGTAACAGTTTTTCCTTTCCATATTTGGTGCTTCCTTCAGGAACTTTTCCAAGGCAGACCTGGTGATAATGAATTCCCTCAACATTTGCTTGTTTGAAAGGATTTTATTTCTCCTTTGCTTGTAAAGTGCAATTTTGGCAAATATGAAATTCTAGGTTGGAAGTAATTTTCTTTAAGAATGTTGAACATTGGTCCCCAGTCTCTTCTGGATTGAAGGGTTTCTGCTGAGAGGTCCACTGTTAGTCTGATGGGCTTCCTTTTGTAGGTGACCTGGTCTTTCTCTCTGGCTGCCCTTAACATTTTTTCCTTCATTTGGACTTTAGAGAATCTAATAATTATGTGTCTTGGGGTTGATCTTCTCATAGAGTGTTTTACTGGGGTTCTCTGGATTTCCTGAATGTGAATGTTTGCCTGTCTTTCTAGGTTGTGGAAGTTCTCCTGGATAATATCCTGACATATGTTTTCCAACTTGATTCTGTGCTCCCTGTCTATTTTGAGTACCTCTATCAGTTGTAGAATTTCAGCAACTCCAGCCCCACTCTGTGAGGGGGAATGGATCTAGGTCTCACCTAAAGAAGTAGTCTGGCCATAATCTGCCACAGCCTCTGCTGCACTGTGGGAAATCCCTCCTTGTCCATATAGCCCTGCCTCCCCAGCACCGACAGAAGAAAATGGCCAATTGGAGCCACAGTAAGAGCAGCTTCTTCTCCTCCCAGAACACAGTCATCTTAGACAGTCTCCTGCCTACTGCCACTGGCTACAACCCAAGCAGCTGCCAAGTCCCACAACACTGTGCTTGGGATCCAAGGCCCTGGTGGCTTGGGCTTATGAAGGAAATCTCCTGATCCAAGGGTTGCACGGATGTGTGGAGACAGCATGGTTTCCTGCGCAAGGTGGCACAATCACTCCCTGCTTCTCTTGGCCGGTGGTGGGAGCGCCCCTTGCCCCATGTGGCTCCCTGGTGAGGTTTCACTCTACCCTGCTTTTCTTTGCTCTTCATGGGTTTTTCCAAGTGCCTAGAACCAGGATACCTCAGCTAAAGGTAGAAGATTCACTTGCCATTTTTGTTCTTCTCAATGGGAGCTGCCAGTGGCAGCTGGTTCTAGTCAGCTATCTTGGCCTCTCCCCCTGAAAAATGACTTTCTATATGTAATAATGTTCAATCTTAGAAAAAACTATAGTGTTTATAAATGTATACATAAAAATACAAAGTCAAGTAAGAAAAAAAATATCATGGAAGTCAATATAGTGATGATTATAAGAGAAGTTTGTGATTGGGAAAAACATGAGACGTGGGAAAGGACGGTAAGTTACTACTGATACAAATATTTAATTTCTTGATCAGGGCAGTGTTTAAACAGGTGTTCACATTATGATTATTCATTAAACAATACATGGACATTTTATGTTCTTTTTCACATGTATGACATTTCATTTACATAATGTGATCCAGGTTAATAATGTTTTCTTTTTATATTCTTATTATTCTATTTAAGTACAATCCTTCTTGACTAAATAAATGTCTCATTGCTGTTAGGAATTTTAGCATGTGTTTTAACTGTAATTTGAAGAGAACATTACAGCATGAAATTTATAAAGGACCATAGTAGAGCACAAACTCAATTTTTCAGTGGGTGTTTTATGTGTAAAACAATACCCAAAGGCAGAAAGAAGCAGAACGAATTTTCAAGTATTCATGAAGATAGTGACTTTGAAACATATGTAATATTTTCAGAACTGAGAGAAATACAGATGGTGACTACATATGTATAAAATTGATATTGTAAAAACGTTATGCATATGAAGATAAAATATACCCTAAATTTAAAAAACCCTCCAAATCTAAATTAAAAGTTAAATTTACATTTAAAGAGTAGTTTGAACAAATACTAATACAGTTATTTTCTCAATATGGTTAATCTGTTGTTTCTAATTCCAATATAGAATATAATTTAAAAATCCCTCAAAGCTGAACATATGTATTTTTCTGAATTTAGAGAGCACAGTACTTTCATATGTGATTTCTAATGCTTTTTTTCAGTGAGCATGATATATTAAAATAGTAAATCATTTAACCATTACTTTAGCATCTATAACCACAACATTTATATAAACCACATGAATACACATATATCTTTCCCATTTGTAAATGATAAAACCAATTTGGGTATATTAGCCAGTCACTGACTCTAATCTCAAAGCTAGTATGTGTAATCCAAGAATAAAAACTAAAGCTGACTGTTGTGTAAACTACACATGATTAAGAAGTATTTCTTTGAAGTTAAACCTAAATATTTTCTAAAAGCTTATACATTAGCAAATAAAACACATTTTTTTTCAGATAAACCATAGTCCATATTCTACCTTAAATCATGTATATCACCCAGAAAATACGTCACAAAGCAGGGTCTGTTTTAATAGAAAAAAAAAGAGGAGGAACAGCTTTAAGCTACAGACATTGGCTAAATAGGCATTGCTGAAGACTGATGAACCTCAAGTAATGAACAAGAGTAAAGGCCATAATCAATCTAAAGAGGGTAACTAAACAGAGTAGAACTTTGGGAGAAAGAAGTGACAAGTGCTAAAAATAGAAATAAATTATCCATTTGGATATGTAGTAAAGAATTGCCAAAAGCCAAAATTCACTTCTGATTCCTTGACATGTTCTATAAAAACTCCTCAGTAAGTATACATGGTGTGAGGAAGAGGGCTGGATTTGTAGTTTACCCAAGAACCCCAATAAATACTTTCTGAAATGAGGACTTCACTGTGTTTCTTAAGGGAAGTAAGCCAGTTTATAAAGGAAAAGGACTATTTCCATCCATGATTCTGGGGTACTTTTTCTGACTTTTATTAGCTCCTACATTTAGAGTAAAGGAAACTTTCAATTCATTGAAACACTATCCTAAGTGTGTGTCCCTCATCATTCCTTAAACTGTTTTCTTCCAATATATTTCCAAACCATCATTTACATTCTTTCCAAAATTATATCTATAACAGAATTTTGTTTTATCTCCTTAAAAAAGCTCAGTGCGTTTGACTGATTATAAAATAAAATTTATAATCCTTAACATCACTATATTTTTCTATTAGGATTTTATCTACCACTGCATTTTCTCAGTCTTTTGATCTGTAAATAAATTAATACAAATGTATATTTTGCCACCCCTATACCAACCAAACCCAAACCCCTGACACTATAGTTAGATATGGTAAACCTCAAATGACTCAATGTACTATCTTACATTTCCTTAAGTATATATCTGATTACCCTGGTAAACTTAAAGAAACAGCCAGTACTTTTCAGACTATCTTTAGGATATTTTCTTTGGAAAATTGTTAATGATATGTTTGCTTGTTGTACACATCACATTCTTGTTTCTTGTTCATTTTAGGATTTATTTTCTGAAGACCAACTTAAATGTCCATTACATATTATGGAAGAAGAAGAACAAGCTAAATCATTTGCTCTAGCTTATGTGGAAATATTGCAAAATGAGAACAATTTTGAAATGAATGTTAGGGAGAGAAGCATGATGGTTAATTTTGTCATGTGACAGAAAATAAGCCAATGTTTCATTTTCTTTCAATAATGTTCACTAAGGAAATTATTCAGTAAACTTTAGAAATATTTTACATTAATTACAGAGCAGGATGTTAGAATAGAAAAATGTTGGTTGCAATGTATCAGCTGTTGGTTGATTAACTTGGGTTTAGCAAAATTTTGGTGAGGAGGAAGACTAGGAGACAATTTTTCAAGGGTCACAGTGAAATATTTTTAGTCTTTCAGGGACTTTTACATTCATTGCTCTTTACCAAAATTCACCTCTGGAAAAATATCATAATGCCTAATATCGAGAATGTCAATTGTCATCTTTAGCCAGGTTTCCAAAACAAAAGAGGTCCATGATTATAGGAAATCCTTGAGTTTCATGTGGATCATCAGCTTCTGGTTTGCTTTTGCTTTGTTTTGTTTTGTTTTCTGGTAAATTCATTCATCACATAGTGGCTATATAGAAGCACTTTGGCTCTAGACAAGGACGATATGGAACTGTAATGTCAAGAAACACAAGAAGTAGATAATTAATCAGCCTTGATGTGTTCTCTTTACCAACACTGACTTTTTTAAACTCCAGCCTGAAAAAACCCTTCCATCTCAACTTCTCAAGCTACAAAGTGGCACAGTGGCCAGTTTCCAAGCTTACTTATCTTTCTGTTTTAGTAACAAGGATTAGCTTTTGGAAACAAAATCAATGGAAACAAAGAGAAATGTCTTAATTTTTTCATTTTTGATAATTAAAAGCCTATAATTATAATCTTTAGAAAATGACTAAAGATAGCTGTTTTTAAAGGATGGGAGGGAAAGAGAGAAGAAAGAGAAAACAAAGGGTGAAATAATTAGTGGCTCCAGGCATTCAGCCTCCCGTCTGGAGATCTCTGAAGTCTGAAAATCTGATATTTGATCTACGTTTCTTGGACAGGCTGAATTCTTTGTGATGTTATCTGCTTCTAGAGAATTACAGAAATATGTGCTTTTAAACATAAATATGAAATTACTAGTAACGAATACAGTCATTTCCAGTTAGGTTCAAGAGCATTTGTAGGTGGTTTTCCTTTGGTTAAGCTGCCTGGATCTGTGGTCTACAAACATTTTGGTTTGTATATTGCAATAAACCTAAGATGACAATTGGTTACTCAGGTGTAAATGTTAGCCTTACTGGCTAAGGGCTTAGAGAATGATAACTTATGATTTCCAGTAAGTTAATTTCTGATAGCCAAGGCAGCAAAATATAATATCTAGGTGATGACAGTTAATCCTTCAAATAATTTTCCAACCTTTATTATTATTTTTTATTTTTGATAGCATATGATGAATGCAATAGAGTTTCTGGATGATGAGCAGTATCATGAAAAGCTATTTGAAATTTCTGCAAAATGAGCATTTCTGTCTCTGGATAAAGACAATCATAATAGCCTAAGTTGAAAATACAAAGCCTAGAATGGTGAGTGTTGTTTTAATTTGTTTGTTTGATTTCATTTCTCTTTGTTAATGTAGTAGCCGTTTAGCAGAGAAAAACTTTTGGCCATCCAGAAAATAGACAATTGTAAAAATATATTCATATCCATTTCAAGGAGGTGACTGGATGAACACCATTTCTAAATATTCAAATAGACATTAAGGCTTTGGTTTCTACCTATACCTACCTTTGCAGATTTGCTTGGAGTATAATTTTTGCACATGAAACATGTGCCAGAAATATCTCAGCAGTTTTGAGTAAAACTGTCCTACTTATTATAATAGTTTTAAAATTTCAGCTCATTTGTCTTTGCCATGATCAAAATTAATAGTTAATGGTTATATTAATAAATTATGTTATAGTTATTTCAATAAATCATCTTAATTAATGGTATTACGTTATAATCACTGATTATTGTGGGAGGAAGATATTTTATAAACAGAATGACATGAACAAGTTTCTGTAACAATTGGATTCATATTAGAAAACAAATTCTGCTTTGTCACTGATAATACCTGGTAGTCAAATGTTTTAAAATTTATAAAAAATTATTTTATAGATAACCTGAGGGTTTCAATATATCTTTTATGGGAACAGAATTCAACCCATAACAACAGTCTACCCTCTGGCCCCACAAAATTCATGTCCCTCCTGCATGGAAAATTTGTTCACCCCATCTTGGCACCTCCAAAAGTTTTAACCCACTCCAGCATCAACTCTAAGAAGTCCAAATCTCATCTATATATAATCGGCTAAAAAAAGTCCCAAATCTTATCATCAAACCATCTAAATCAGTTATAGGTGAGACTTTGGTTATGATTTATCCTGCAGCAACAACCTTTTGGATCTCTGAGTCTGTGTAACCAGAAAACAAGTAATATACTCACACAATGCAATGGTGGCAAAGTCATAGGATAGACCTTCCCATTCCAAAATTGAAAAATAGGAGAAAAAGGGGTCTCAGGTCCCAAGAAAGTCCAAAAACCAGCAGGGCAAATTTCATTAGATTCCAAGGCTTCATTCTAAGCCTCTGTGGTTCAATGCTTTGTCCTCTGGGCCCTCTTGGGGTCACAAGAGAGACAACTCTAGTCCCCTGCTCAAAGGTGTTCTATCAGTTCAGGTGTCTGCCTCCATGGCCCTACCATCAGAATCATTCTTCATTAATCTCATCCTATCTCTATCACTTTCAGTCCAAGTGATAAGGACAGGAACCAGATAAATTTTAGCAGAAAAGTGGTGGGTCTTTGGTGAAAACCCCACCCACAAGCTAGAAAGCCTGAAACTGCAGCCCAAAATGAGAACTTATATCCCTGTTTTCCTGCTTGACTGTTGCCTTTTCCTAAATGACTCATGGCCTTGTCTCACCTCATCCTGTGTTTATAAAGACCCCAGACTCAGCTGGCAGAGAGGAGAAGGAGCTGGATGTAGGGACCATGGCTGGATGTTGGAGAGAAGTGGCTTGACTTCAGAGAGACAGCTTGACAGCATAACTTTGGAGAAGAATCCAGCTAGAGATGGCTGGGCTTCAGGGGAAGATTTCTTTCCTGCCCTACCCCCTTATTCTGCTCCCCTTCCCTCTGAAAGCCACTTTAACTGGTAACACAATTCCCCACATTTACCATCCTTCAGTTCATTTGGGCAACCTCCTTTTTCCTGGACATCAGACAAGAGCTTGGCATCCATGAGCATGGATGCAAAGGGCTTACTGAGCTGTTAACACTTAAGTGATTTGCAGATAGCAGAGCTAAAATAGCACCATAACACACCCTCTGGGGCTTTGGGAGTCACAGGCAGACTGCCTGAACAGGGCTTTCATGGAGTTTGCTCCTGCCAGTGCCCAAAAGTGCTCACTCTGGTTTCTGCACCCACTCACCTGCATGCTCCCTCCCATAAGGAGTGGAATGCAGCAGCCCCTGTGAGTAGAATTTGATCTCATAGGCACCAAAATGGGCAGCCAGTTCCAGTGTTCATGCACTCCAGTTCGTGCCTCATTTGCTTGTTTGCTCCCTCCCATGAGCGGTTGAGAGTGGCAGGCTCAGTAAACAAGGCACTCCTGTTGTGAGTCCTGCAAAGGGGTCTAGCAAACATCCTACTTCACAAGTTGGCAGTGTTTCTGCTGGTATAATTCTTAAAGAACCTTTTCTGTCTTCTGAGTAATTCATGGGAATCTAAACATTAAACAAGACCTACATACCTTTCTAGATAATCACACCTCTTTTCCTGTATCTAGATGAATGAATTATTGGATAAATGAGTAATTGTATTAATCAGAGTTCTCTAGATAGACGGAACAAATAGAATATATGCATATATGAAAAGGAGTTTACTGAGGATAATTAACACAATTACAAGGTAAAGTTCTATGATAGTCCGTCTGCAAGCTGAGGAGCAAGGAGGCCAGTAGTGGCTGAGTCCAAGTCCCAAAGCTTCAAAGGTAGGGAAGCTGACAGTGCAGCCTTCAGTTTGTGGTGAAAGGCCTGAGAACCCTTGGAAAACCACTGGTGTATGTCCAAGAGTCCAAAGGCTGAAGAACTGGGAGTTTCATGTTTGAGGGTAGAAAGCATCCAGCACAGGAAAAAGATGAAGACTAGGAGACTTAGCAACTCAGTTAATTCCACTTTCTTCCACCTGCTTTTACTAGCCAGGCTGGCAGCAAATTGGATGGTGCCCACTCACATTGAGGGTGGGTCTTTCTCTCCCAGTTCACTGATTGATTCCAAATGTTAGTAACCTCTGACAACACCCTCACAAACACACGCAGAAACCATACTTTGCATCATTCAATCCAATCAAGTTGAGACTTAATATTAACAATCACAGTAATATACTCAATTTCTTCAGCACAGGTTGTCTAGACAGATTCTTGGCCCTGTTTCTATACCATTCTATCAGGATAGGATGAGAATTTTCCAAGTCATCAAGTGCTGTTTCCTTTCTGCTTAACAGATTATTCTGCAACTTGTATATTTCCTCTTGCATTTTACCATAAGCAGCAAAAAGAAACCAGACCATATCTTCCACACTTTTCTCAGATATATCCTCAATAAATATTCAAGTTTATCACTTACAAATTGTACCTTCCACAAACAGCGCAAAATATTTCAGCCAAGTCATCTGCCACTTTATAATAAGGACTGCTTTTTCTTCAGTTTCTAATATCATGGTCCTAATTTCCATCTCAGACTTCACCAGAAGTAGCCTTACTTATCTTATCATCTTAGAAAATATTACCATAAATGTTCACAAGAACTTTCTATGTAGCTGTCCTATCTCTGACTTTTCACTAGAATGTTCTTTCATGATTTCTACCAACAATCTCTTCAAGTCAGTCTATGCAAAAACCTTCAATAAAATACTCGTAAACTGATTGCAACAGCACATCAAAAAGCTTGTCCATCACAATCAAGTAGGCTTCATCCCAGGGATGCAAGGCTTGTTCAACTTATGCAAGTCTATAAACATAATCCACCACATAAACAGAACCAAAGACAAAAACCACATGATTATCTCAGTAGAATCAGAGAAGGCATTCAACAAAATTCAACTTTATCCCTTTATGCCAAAAACTCTGAAGAAACTAGGTATCGAAGGAACATGTCTCAAAATAATAAAAGCTATTTATGACAAACCTATAGCCAATATCATACTGAATGGGCAAAAACTGGAAGCACTCCTTTTGAAATCTGGCACTAGACAAGATTGCCCTCTCTCACCTCTCCTATTCAATATAGTATTGAAAATTCTAGCCAGAGCAATTAGGCAAGAAAAAAAAGTGTATTCAATTAGGAAAGGAGGAAATCAAATTGTATTTGCAGATGACATGATTGTATATTTAGAAGACCCTATCATCTCAGCCCAAAATCTCCTAAAACTGATAAGCAACTTCAGCAAAGTTTCAGGATACAAAATCAATGTGCAAAAATCACAAGTATTCGTATATAACAATAACAGACTAACAGAGAGCCAAATCATGAGTGAACTCCCATTCACAATTTTATTCTACAAAGAAAATAAAATACCTAGGAATACAACTAACAAAGGATGTAAAGGACCTCTTCAAAGAGAACTACAAACCACTGCTCAAGGAAATAAGAAGGGACACAAACAGATGGAGAAACATGCCATGCTCATGGTTAGAAGAATCAATATCATGAAAATGCCCATACTGCCCAAAGTAATTTATAGATTCAACATTATCTCCAACAAGCTACTAATGACCTTCTTCACGGAACTGGAAAAAAACCACCTTAAACTTCATATGGAACCAAAAAAGAGCCTGCATAGCCAAGACAATCCTGAACAAAAAGAACAAAGCCAAAGCCAAAGCCTGAGCAAAAAGAACAAAGCCAGGCTACCTGACTTCAAACTAGACTACAAAGCTACAGTAATCAAAACAGCATGGTACTGGTACCAAAATAGAGATATAGACTGATGGAACAGAACAGAGGCCTCGGAAGCAATGCCACACATCTGCCACCATCTGATATTTGACAAACCTGACAAAAACAAGCAATGGGGAAAGGATTCCCTATTTAATACGGTGTTAGGAAATCTGGCTAGCCATATGCAGAAAGCAGAAACTGGACCCCTTCCTGACACCTTACAATAAAATTAACTCCAGATGGATTAAAGACTTAAACATAAGACCTAACACCATAAAAAGCCTAGAAGAAAACCTAGGGAAAACCATTCAGGACATAGGCATAGGCAAGGACTTCATGACTAAAACATCAAAAGCATTGGCAACAAAAGCCAAAATAGACAAATGGGACCTAATCAAACTCCAGAGCTTCTGTACAGTAAAACAAATTATCATTGGAATGAACCAGCAACCAACAGAATGGGAAAAAAAATTTGTAATCTATCCATCTGACAAAGGGCTAATATCCAGAATCTACAAAGAACTAAAGTAGATTTACAAGAAAAAAACAAACTCATTCAAAAGTGGGTGAAGGACATGAACAGACACTTTTCAAAAGAAGACA